ATTGCCCCTGAGAAGGCCCAAGAACCCAGGCTGTGATTTAGTTGAATCTCTCTTTTATAGAGGAAGGAACAAAAGGCCCAGAGGGGAAGTGGACTTGTCAAAGGTCACACAGCAAGCTGACGGCAGAGGGGCCCAGCCTCCTCAGCCCTCACCAGTTGCACGACCTTGGGCAGGTTACATCTTCTCCGAGCCTCTTCCCTGCCCCAAGCAAGGAAGAAATTGATGTAGAAGCCAGCAGAGTGGGACCTTTGTGGGGTGCGGGGAGCTGCAATTGAGAAGGAACTCAGGGTGGGGGCTTCTGGGTGCCCTGGATGTACACTTTGTCATCAGTCATTAAGTTGCTCATTTTTGTTCTAAGCATCTTTCTGCACATGGATTGTATTGAAGAGTTCACAGCATCCACCTCACAGGTCATTAAGGAGCCTGAGTGAGAAGTGCCTGGAATGGAAAAAGTGCTTAGTACCTTCTTTGTAGTGTCCTTTCACACTGGCAGAAGGCAGTCCCTGTGGGGATGGGAGCTAGGGGTCCCAGGGGGAAATGGAAGTAGAGAGGGGTATGTGTTCAAAGCCTGCGGGATGTCCTCAGCCCTGAGAAGGCTGTCATGGCCCATTCTCTAAGGGAGGGCACTGAGGCTCCTGGAGAGGGTTGCCACCCTGGATGTCTCTAGGGGGCTGGTGGTGAGATAGAGGAGGGACGGGGGGAGGGGGCAGCATCCTGGCTGCTGGCTGCCTCAGCAGCCCCATCGTGCTGTGATCAGCACCCCCACCGCAGTGAAAACAGCCCTCCCCAACCCCTCAGGGCTGCGGAAACCCAGCCTAATTGGATCCAGGACCCTCGGGAGCCTCATTCCGCACAGGAAGTTCCCAGGAGTGAGTTTCCAAGGCTGGCCTGGGTCTTGGGGGGTGGGGTAGGGCACAGCAGCTGGGACTCCGGGCTCTGGGCTGCATGGATTGGGGGCACATGGAGGGCAGAGGGATCGTGGGAGGAAAGCTTTGAGCACATGGGGATCCCCAGGCTCTGGGAAGTTGGGAAATCTCAACTTCTCTCTTAGACCATCTCCCGCTTGTCCCTTCCAGGCCCTCCTTCTGGCCCCGTGATGACACGTCCATTGAAAACCTTGACCATGGTCTTTCCCTGCTCAGGGACCCCCTGAGCATGGGCCCCCATGGCCTTTCATCCAAGTGTCTCAGCCCGGAACTTTGGCCCTTTATGAACTGCCCCAGCCACCTCTCCCTCCACCTGTGAATTCCTGCCCTGGGCCTACACCAGACCAAACATCAAGCTGTGTGCTTTCTTGCTTCAGGGCCTTTGCACGTGCAGTTCTCCCCACCTGGCCTGCCCTTCCCCGGCATCTATTTCTTGATGTCTCCCCTTCCCCCTGTCAGTAAGTCCCACCTTTGTGCAGTCTTTGTTCATCCCCCACTGGGATGAACTCATCTTCCAGGGAGCATCCCCACCCCTAACCCAGCCATACCCTGGCAGTAGCTTGTTGCCTCTCTCTGGAGCAGGGAGCGTTCGTGAAAAGGCTTTGCTGTCCTAGGAAGCTAGCAGCTATCCATGCCTTTGCACACAGGGCCCCTCTGCTTGGAATGTTCTTCCTCTACCCTCTTGCTCTTCTGGCAAACATTTCAGTCTTCGAGGCCCACATGGACAGACCCCCCCTCCTCCCTTGGGTTCCCTCAGTGAACACTATTGAGCAGCTCGGGTGAACTAGACACTTGAGCACCTACTATGTGGCCGGCACTAGGGCCTGGGGCTGTAGCGGTGGCCCTGTCCTCAAAGATCATGCAGGAGGGAGTATTTAGAGGTGCAATACAGAGGTGGGGTAGGAAGAATGCAAGGGGTGACGGGTGTGTGTAACAGAAGAAGGTCAGAGAGTGACTTTCAGCTGAAATCTGAAGGAAGAGTGAGGTGAGATGTATGCCGAGTCTGGGTACAGTGTTGTAATGAAGAACCAGACCCCTGCCCTGATCTCAGGGAGCTCACAGCCACCTGGGGACTAGGTGGATAAGTAACTCCGCAGTTCTAGGGTGGTGGGAGCCCAGGAAGCTGTGGGAACTCGGGAGAGGCTGCAAATAGGGCCTAAGATGGGGATGGTGATCAGGAAGGTATCCTCATGGCAGTGACACCTGAGTTGATTTCTGTTGGTTGATGGGCACCTGTCAGGGTACCAGCTGGGGGACTGCCCCCAAGTGGGTTGGCACAGCCTGTGCAAAGGCACGGTGGCATGAGACAGCAACTTGTTTTGGGAACCTGCAGGTAGTTTGGTGAGGCTGGAGGGAGAGAAGCTGTGGAGGTGCACCTGTTGGGATGCATGTGGTCAGCAGGGCCTCCTTAGCAAAGGCCTCTGGGTCATGCTGGGGAGTTCAAACTGTACCCCAAAAGTTGAACCCAATAGGGATTTTAAGCAGGAAAGTGAGTGACCCAGGAAGGCTTTCTTTTGTTTGGCTTGGTCCTACCCCCTGAAGTCTCTGGATAAGAAGGGGAGTCCCTCTCTGATGACACTCCTGGCTGTGGTCTGGGGTGGGGCTTGAAGCTCACTGTGGGACTCTGAGCAAGCCTCTGGCCCTCCCTGAGCACCACTGTCCTGGGTAAATCTGCAGGGCCTGAGCCGGAGTCTGTGTGGGGCTGTGGGCGGGGCCTGGGGTGTCTTGATTGGCCAAAGCTGGCTGAACCTTTAGTGTTTAAAAAAACTCCCTTAAAAAGTTACGTAGCCATGCTGCAGAAATGTCAGAGAATACGGAAATGAAATAAACCAAAACTCACCCCCATTTCTGTCCATCCCAAGCCTGAAACACACCACTGCTAGTATTTCGGTGTTTCTTTCCCATCTTTTCTCTCAGCACCTGGATTTTTGTATGGGTGTCGTTGCCCTGTCTTTACAAATGGTTTTTAAAATCTTCCCTTTCCCCCAAGTAATGTTGTAGCATGAGTATTTTCTAAATCACTGCAGGGTGATTTGGTGTCAGGGTGGAAAGCACGGGCTCCAGAGCCCGACTTTCTGGATTCAAACTGTACATGCACTGCTTGACTTCAGGCAGGTTACCTCATCTCTCTGTGCCTCAGTTCCTTGCAGGGTTGATATGAATGTTAAATGAGTCATTACAATGCCAGTAAACATCGGCTATTAATGACTGTAGACTGTGTCACTGTTCAACGTGATTTACAGAGCCATCCCCCTGTTGTTTAAAATTTTGGCTGTTCCAGGTTTTTGCTACTGTAAAAATCCACTGGAGCAAACAACTTTGTGTGTAAAACTTTGTCTCTATTTAGGGTATTTTCTAGGGACAGATGACCAAGAATAGGATCGCTAGGCCAAGAAGTCTGAACATTTTTATAGAGCTCATGACACATTACCAGATTGTTGTTGGAAATGATTGGTCCAATTTACACTCTCAGCAATAAAGCATGGGAGTGCCAATTTCACAATACCCTTACCAGCATTGGGCATTATCATTTTCTTATTGCTTTTTGCTATTTTAACCACGTGAAACTCATTTAATAATTTTCACTGTTAGGGAAGCAGAACCATTTGCTGTGTTTATTATCTGTTAACAACTTTTTTGGTCTGCTAATCTTTACAGCACACAGCCTCTTCTCAGGTCAATTAGGAAGATAGGGCTTAGGGAAGAGTGTAACACAGGGGACATACAGTACCAGAGTGGGTGGGGGGTACTCAAGAAGGGGAGGGGACTTTTCCTCTGTCCAAGCCACGATACTTTCAGTTCCCTCCACTTAGACCATTCATTCACCCAAACATTTATCAGGTACTGTTTGGAGCTTAGAAGGTAAATGACTCAGCTTTGATTCTGCCCTGACAGAAAACATGTTCAGCAGCAGAGATGGGTGAGAAAACAGGCAGAATATGGAGTGACAAGTGTCTGATAATGGAAATGCAGGGCACCTAGGGAGTAGGCCAACACATCCTAGGGGGTGTAGGGGGAGCAGTCCTGGAAGGCTCCCAGGAGGAAGTGGCCTGTAAACTGGGGCCTGAGGAATAAGTGGTAGTTAACCAGTGAAATGGAGAGGTCAAGGAATTCAGCCAGGGAGAGGAGGCAGCCTGACTGGAGTGAGGAAGTGGGAAGGAAGTGGAGCGCTGGGGGAACGGTCAATCTGGCTGGGCAGAGTGGAAGGTGGGAACAACCAGTTAGGCCGAAGAGGTTGGCAAGGGTCAGACATGGAAGGCCTAAGGAATCCAGACCTTGTCTGAAGGGAAGGAGGGAGCCATGGAAGGTTCTCGGTGGGGGAATGTTGGGATCTGATTTGTATTTTAGAAATATCACAGTGTCTACTCTGGGAGACCAGGATGGGGCACATGCGTAGAGGTGCAGAACTCTGGAAGGAGGCTTTTGCAATAGCTGAGGCCACAGCAGAAAGTGGCCCGGACCAGGGCAGGGAAGGTGGTGGAGATACTCCCTGTAGAACCCTAACCAGCTTCAAAGTGCCAATTGACTGTCACCTCTGCCAGATAGCCCTTAGTGACATCTGCCATGACCCTCCCAGGTCTGGGGGATGGGGTCTGTGCGAGGCATGGCATGCAGTGGTGAGTCGAGTGCCTGCCATCACTGACCCTGACTTCCCCTTGCTCCTCCCAACCTCCAGACCTTCCATCTGTTACCCCCACCCCCTTGGCTAGCAATAACTTTCTTCCTCCCTCTCCTTTTTTTCAAGAATAAATTTATTGTTTTCATTATAAAAGCAACAACAACATTGCAGAGTATCTGGAAATCAGAGAAACAAAGACAAAAAACCAGATCAGCTCCAGCTGCCTCCCCCAGTACTCCCAGCCTCCCTCTGGGCGTGGTTCCCTGCAGCTTGCTTTTTCTGACGCAGGTTTTTATTTTTGCCTCCTTGTAATCATAGTATCGGACAGTTTTGGGTCCTGCTCTCTCCCACTTGCTTTGTTGGAAGCTCGCTCCCCTGTGGCCATGGGGTCTGGGCAAATCTCATTTTTTTAATGTTTCTGGGCTGGTGGGGGAATGGGGGTGGGTGGGACAAACGTTGCTTCACTGCACCCTCCACCTTATAGTGGGCAAGGCTGATCCCATTCCACCTTGGGCTGCCCATTCTCTTTGTTTGTCTAGGCCTGAACCTTCCCAGGTGGCAGGGCCCCTTCCTCAGTGTCCCTACCCCCTGTGCCCCTGTGTGGAGCTCACTAGGCTGGCCTCAGGAGGGTGGGAAAGGGTGATGGACAGACCTGGTTTCAAATCCAGACTCAGTTCTGTGACCTCAGACAAGTTACTTAACCTCTCTGGACCTCAGTTTCCTCATGTGTATAATGCGTCTATTGCAACAGTAAAATAATGGCTATAAAATGCCCTGATACCATTCCTGGCCTATTGTAAGAAAAAGGTAGTCGATATTATTGTACTTTTTCATTCTCCAAAGAATTTCTGAGGCCACCTTGGACAAGACAGTGGAATGGCAGAGGTAATGAGCACCAACTCTACCTATGAAGAGCTCACAGTCTAGTGGGGAAGTCACCCAGGGACACATAACTGCTCCAGGGTGTGATCAGCTCTGTGGTGCTGCACCAGATCTGGGTGGTGTCCTAACTCCCGTTATTTGCTAGCTGTGTGACTTTGGGCAAGTTGGTCGACCTCTCTGAGCTGCAGTTTCCTCTTCTGTACAACGCACATCTCATGGGTCATTGGGAATATTCAGTGACATGATGCATATAACATACTCAGCACAGTGCCTGGCATATAGTAGGTGTTGAAATCAACAGTAGCTGCCATTTTATTATTATTATTGTTATTATTCCCATATACAAGGTGCTGTTGGGAACACAGAGGAAGTGACTGACTGGGGGTTCAGGGAAAGCTCCGTAGAAGAGGGAACACTTGAGCTGGGTCTTGAAGGATGAGTAGAAGTTCACCAAGTGGGAAAGGACACTCTAGGTAAGGAGCCTGTGATTCCAGGTTGAAATCTGTCAAGGGGTTTGTTCTTTGGGGGACCAAGGCATTGTGTTCATCCCAACTTCCCTAGGTGCCCCTTGCTGCCTCCCTCCTGGTCTGCCTGGGGGCTGTGTGTACTCACCCTCCTGTAACAGTATCCCCTGTCACTCTGTCCTGGTCGCTGTGGGGTCCTGTTTATGGGAGTTGCTGTGTCCCCATTTGTCTAAGTTTGGGACCACAGGTTTGTGTCCCATGTGTTGGAGTTTGGTGCTGTCTGTCTGCATGTTCCTGTGACTCTGTTTGTCTGTGCCACACCGTTGCGGGGCAGCCTGCCAGCTTGCTTGTCCTCCAGCTCTAACCAAATAGCCAGGCCTTGGTCACTCTCCTCCCTGGCCCAGAGTAGGCCCTGCCTTTTACCTCCATTCCATTCCCGGGGGGCCTTCAACCTGTATCCTCCCATTGCCTCCTCTCCTGACTTCTCTCCCTCCTACACTTAGCAGTCAGAGGGGTCTTTTAAACCACAGATGCTGTCCCATCACCCACTGCTTCAAGTCCAGACCCCAGGCCTTGGATTCAGGACCCGCCTTTCTAGGTGTGGCCCGGGCTGATGGCTCCGGCCTCATGTCCTGTCTCCCAGACCACACCGATTGCTATGGCTCCCTTCACACACCATGTGGCTTCTCACCTCTAGGCCTTTGCTCAGGCTGCTGCTTCTGCCAGGAATGCTCCCCACTCCTCCTTTGCCTGGCCAACTCCCACTCATCCTTTAAGACCCAAAGCACGCATCACCTCCGCTGCTGGGAAGTCCTCCCTGATCCTTTCTTTCCATTCTGGGCTCTGGGCTGCTCATCCCTTACTTGGGGAATAGGAGCAAGTGACTTGCCCAAGGTCACACAGCTGGTGAGTTGGAGCCAAGATTTGAACCTGTGTGCACTGGGCTCCGAATAAAGTAGGCCGTTCCATGGTCCAGGTGAGGTGATAGTAGCTAGGACTTGTGTAGAGGATTGAGTGGATTTGAGAGTGATTTTGGAAATAGAATCCCGAGGATATGACTGGGGGAGGGTCTGACTAGGAGGGCAGGGAGGGGACGTGTTGTGGATCAGTGTCTGTGGCAGGAGCATCCAGGCAGATGGGGATGCCTGGCTCCGAGCTGGGGATGGCTAGAGGGGCACACATCTTACATCTTACTAGAACACCAAGTCCAGCTCAGGCCGGCTGAGTCCGCGCAGCCCACGAGCAGTCAGGGAGGTAACTGGAAGGTGGCCTGTCGGCTTTGACTGCATGAAGGTTCCTGATGGCATGTGACGAGTCTCATAGGCAAAAGTTCTTTTTTGCAGAAGCTTGTGGGTCCCATGTCTGCTTCTTCTTCTTAGGGCAGGGTTCTCCTATTGGCCTTCAGTTCCCCGGCACTGGTCCTCACTGTGGCCCAGAGGATGGATCATGGATCCAGAATGGGTGGATGGGCAGATGGGCAGACTGGCTGACTGCCAGTGGGGTGCTGTTTTCAGAGGCAGCTCTAGGTGTTTCATTCATTGACACATCTAACTTTTTTCACCTTTTAGAACAAGAAGAACAAAATGACAGCTTACTGGCCCCACTGTAAGGATCAGGGCTATGTGTCTCGGGACTCACAGCACAGAGTCTTGGCTTCTGTGTGGGGCTTAAAGCCCAGTCTGCATGTCCTGCCCGACCCCCAGCCTGTCTCCTCTGCCTGTCCGGCATGGACACTCAGCCCCAGCCCACCTGGCTCCTTTGCCCCAGCTTCTCCCTCTGACCTCAGTCCTCTTTGCTTCATTGCTCCCCCGCCCAGCACACTCTGATGCCTTCTCACTACCAGCATTTCATCCCAACCGCTAGCTCGGTATTCAGGACCCTGCCGACTGGCCTCTGTCTCTCACCACCTCATCACTCCCCAGCTCTCCCCTTGGTGCCAGTGGGTGGCTGCTCACTCTCCCAAACCTGCTTTATACTTTCATTCCTTCACAGCTGCCCTTCTGCCTTGTCAACCTGTCCTAAATGTACATCTGACCCGTTTCTCTCCCGCTTAAAGTCTCTCCCTCAAGACAAGGTCGGAGCAGCTGAGGCCGGCCCTGGCCTCCTTCCCACCATGTCATGTGGGTCCCCCAGCTGCCCGGGTGCACACTCACACCTCGCAGGCTTGTTGTGGGGCTCACATGAGATCCTCTTGATGTGCCCCCAGCCATGTGCTCAGTAAGGGCTCAGCTAGTGCTCACCCTACCACCTGCCTCCCCTGCACTAACACACAGATGTGCACCAGGGCCTGGGTCACCCACCAAATCGTGAAGTTACTTAAGCTCAGCCAGAGAAGGACACAGAACAATGAAGCAGAGGCTGTGCCAGTCGGATTCCATGACCCAGACCTCTCCCCTCTGCATCCTTCCCTAGCCAGGGTTAGGGGTGGTCCCTGACTGACAAGGGGCCTCAGAAGTGGCAGAGAGGATGCTCGATCCCAGCTGTAGGACCTCCTACCTCCCTGACCAGGGTGGAGCTTTGGAAAGCCTAAACTTGGCATTGAATTGAAGAGGAGGTGGAGAAGGCAGCTCCCCCAGAACTGTCTGAGGAACAGTCGGGTATAGTGGGCAGTCTTGGGCCAGGGCAGGAATGAGGCAGAACAGCCTGTTTCAATCCCATTTTACAGATGAGGAAAACAGACTCAGAGCCAGTGCCCTATACTGCAGCACAGTGCTCCCTCCTGTTTCCCTGTCTGTGCAGCCAGCAGCAGAGTGCTGCCCTCCTGGTACCCTCACTTCTTCCTCTGTGAAACGGGCGTGAAGATGTTCCCTGCTTCCTGGGGCTCTGGTGAGAATGCTGCTGGGTACAGAGGGCTTTGCACACTGTCAGCAGTGTTGGATAATTGTGTGGGATGCCTTTAAAATAATTCTGATTATTTATGCCATCATTTATTCATTCTGTCACACAACTCATGCTGCTGGTCTCCTCTGGGCCTGGGTGCCGAGGAGGCCACAATGAACCAGACAGGTGTATTCAATTCCCAGGCTTCTCTGAGGCTCCTCAGCTCCCCTCCCCCTCAGCCCTGGCGCCTTCTCACCCAGGAGCTTTACAGCTCAGACCCCTTCATGTTTTCCTCAGCGGGCAACAGCAGGAGAGGGACAGGTGTGAGGCTGCTGGATGAGCCTGTAGGGCTGTGGCCGTGCCATCCTAAGACAGGGCATATTCACAATCCTACAGTCAGGATGCCTTGTCATTCCCTGAACAGCTAAGACTGATGAGCTGGACTTGGGACTCGGCAGCTTTGAGTGGGAATCTCAGCTCTCTGCTTACTTGCTGTGTGACCTTGACCAAGTCACTCCATCTCTCTGAACTTCAGTTTTCTCAGATGTGAAATGAGGATGATGAGAGTACCTGCCTTTCAGTGTCAGGAGCCTGGCACTCGGTAAATGGCAGCCTCCTCACTGTTACTGTGTTGAGGTCTTTCTGAGAAAGGAGAAGTCCCAGTCCAGGGATCTGGAGCCGTCAGGGAGAACTCCAGGCAGGAAGTGCTTCTGATATTGGGCTGTGAGGGATGGGCAGGGTTGGCTGGGCAAAGGGAAGGGCAGCTTGGTGTCTGCGGGTGGCAGGAGCAGAAGGGCTCTTACAGCTGCCCCAGCCACTCCAGAGGAGGCTCTTCTGATCCCCAGCCTGGCCAGACTCAGATGCAAACCGGCCACTAGTCTGGGAGTGAGAGACAAGGATTTTTGCATACAGGTATTGAGTTATTTGCATGTGGATAATTATTCCACCAAGGACTGAGGTTGGCAAAGAAAATTTCCTGGGGGAAACCAGCTTGAGCAAATCTGATTTCTAGTCTTGACTCTGGCACCCTAGCCCTGTGGTCTTGGACAGGTCTCTTCCCCTCTCTCCAAGCCTCAGTTTCTTCACCTATAAAATGGGGTAATACCTCCTGTACCTACTTCTCAAGTAAAGATCACAAGAGATAATTCATATAAAAGATCATTCTTATAAAGTAATGAGATTAAATGGTATCCATATTGAGGGTCTTCTCCTGAAACCCTCTGCCTACAATTCCAGTAAGAGCTTCTCCAGCTTGTAGGGCCAGGAAAAGATGTTAAAGGCACTTCATTTCAGCCTTGCCTGTCCAAAGAAACAGTTCCGTTTAAGCAACCAATATCAGTAGGCATTTAGTAATTTCTGTAAGAGAGAAAAATAAAAGAAGTTTGATAGGGAGCGAGACTTAATGGAATAGCTCTGGCCAGCATGGTCCCTGTAAGTCACTTCTTGACTTACTCTAGGGTTGCAGGAAGACTCAAACCCTCTGGAAGACAAAGAGCTTTAAGGCCCACCCTTCGTACTGCCCTGGTTAAAAAGGCCTTCTAACTGCACCAGGACTTGCCAGCGGTGAGGGCCACCAGAAACATTGTCACATGCTTCTACTGAAGAACCTAGCCTCAGGCCTCCTCAACCCCCTCCTTAAGCACAGTGTTCTGACACCTCCTTGTAGGGAAAATGTACATGGCCATGCTTATTTCTTGAGGATGACTTTCCAGAGGTACAATTTCTTAGGTCAAAGGGGAAAACTAATCACTGGCTCTCCGTAAGTCATCCTGCCAAATTGCCCCTCAGAAAGGCTGTATCTGATGACCCAAGTTGCCCTCTGTGTTCCAAAGGGGCCATAGGTCAGAGGGCAGGTATCAGGGAGGGGCAGTTGCCTCTGCTCTGTGGCCATTTACAAAGTTGCCCCAGGACCCCTCAGTTTGTCTCTGGACAGCAGGCTTCTGTGTGGAATCCCTGGTCCATGGGGTTGGCTGTGGAACCGAGGGTCCTTCTGTGGAGTAGGGATTGGTCTGCCAGCATCACAGTGATGGGGGTGCTGGGAGTGCTCTGTTCTGGATATGACCTTTGTTCTCTGGGGCCCACTGAGGGAGAATTCCAGACTGCAGCCTGGAGATGTGGTACTCTGGCCTGGTAGGAGGCCTGCTCTGCTGCGGGGTGAGGGTCCCACGGGGGCAGGGATCCCAGACACTGGCCCAGACTTGAGTGGGCGTTGCTGATGGGAGCTCGCCCCAGGCCGGTGGGGAGGGCCCTCTTCCCTGTGACAGTCGCTCTCTCCCCGCAGGATGGCCGAGCCTCGATTTAACAACCCCTACTTCTGGCCCCCTCCTCCCACCATGCCCAGCCAGGTAAGACCGAGCATCGCCCCTCCGGCGCCTTCCGCCTCTTGGAGCTGCTTTGCTTTGCCCCTGGGCTTTGGCTGCGGCCTGCGGGGCGAGGGTCTCACGGGTGGCCCGGTGGCCCGGGGCCGGGGCCGGGCGTGACCCAAGCCCCCTTAGTCCCTCTCCTCTCCTGTCCACAGCTGGACAACCTGGTCCTGATTAACAAGATAAAGGAGGCTGATGGCAGAGAAGATCCGGCCGCCGCACCTGCCGCCCACGTCGGCCTCATCGCAGCAGCCGCTGCTAGTGCCGCCCGCGCCGGCGGAGAGCAGCCAGGCCGTCATGTCGCTGCCCAAGCTGCAGCAGGTGCCAGGCCTGCACCCGCAGGCAGTGCCGCAGCCTGACGTGGCGCTGCACGCGCGGCCGGCCACCAGCACGGTCACAGGTACGGCGGGTCTGGGCGGAGACTACCTGGGAGGGGCGTGGCCAGGATAGCCTGGGACTCGGGAAGGGGTGTGGAGGGGCTCGGAGCGAAAAACCTGGGGGGAACTCAGATCTGGCTAGTCACAGCCACCTGTACCAGGATGACCTGCCCCACCAAGTGGACCAATAAGGCTGGAGCGGGTCACTGCCTGCAGGAGGACTCGCCAGGGAAGCCAAATCCACGTAGAGAGCTTTAGGAATCCAGAGGAGAACCCTAACCAGACTTGTGGCGTGGGGCGTGAGGGAAGACTTCGTTGGAGGAGTCCATGTGTGAGGAAGGGTTGGCGGCTGACAAGAGAAATGGAGGAGGAAGTAGCATATGCGAAGCAAGTATGTGTGTAGAAAGCAAGAACAGGACAGTATCCAATTGGGAAGGATGGAAAGATGATGATAGATGATGATGATAATGTGGCAGCTAAGTCCAGGTGAGCATGTGTATACGTATGTATAACATATACAGTAGTCGTGGCATTACTCCCAGCCCTTCTGTGCCATGGCTACTGTGAGCGTTAGGTTGCCTTACAAAGATAGCAGTTTTGTGTGGTTCACCCTAACATCTCCACTCAACAGTTGAGCAAACCAGGGCACAGTTTCACAGCCAGTAAGAGGCAGAGGCAGGCAGCGTGGTTCCAGAGCCCAAGTGGGAACCCTTTGCTCTACCTGGTTCAGCCCAGGCTGGGGAGGAAGCATGCACCAGAACTGTGAAGGGTCCTGTGGGCCACCCGTGCAGTTTGGCTTTACCCCCCCGGCAGTGGGAGCCGCGGAAGGTTTTTAAGGAGGCGAGGGAAATGCTCAGATTTGGGTTAGAAAGCTGGGTCTGGCTGCTGGGTGGAGGCTGTCTTGGTGGGAGACAAGCATGGAGGCTGGGAGAGCTGCAGGAGAGGGTGGTGGCCTGGACAAGGCAGTGGCAGTGGAGATGGAGAAAAGGGGACAGGTGTGAGGTATGTCTAGGAGGAAGAGTGGACAGGGCTGGGTGCTGGGCTGGATGTAGGGGTAAGGAGCGGGAGGAGGCAAGGGAGACTCCTAGGCACTGCCTGTGAGATGGAATCGTGTAGGAGGAGGAGTGGGGTGAGGGAACCACGTGAACCCAGTCTTGGATAGGTTGAGGCTGGGGGCAGGGGGCACATCCTGGGCAGGGTCCTGGGGCTGGGCTGCCTGGTGCCCACCTCAGAACCTGGCGGACAGGCTTTCTGGGAGGCCACTGTGGCTGGGCTTTTGTTCCTCCCCAGCTCACCCTGCTGCCAGCCAGACCCCCCTGCCTCTCTCCCCCTCTCCCTCCTCCCTCGCAGAGATACCCAAGAATTATGGAGCCCAGTGAGCCTCCCCCTGGTGAGGCCCCAGCCACACTCTGCACGTTTCTTTCTTATGATTTTATTAAATTTATTTTTCATTATAAAAGTTATATTAAAAAAGTAATATAAGCATATTAAGGGAAATTTGGGGAAAAAAAGAGAAACTAAGAAAAAAAATCACTCATAATCCCCAGCTTGTAACCCAGTAGCTTAGAGAGACTTTTAGTCCATTTCCTTCCTTTTCTATCTTTTTTATTTTTAATATGTGTGTGTTTTGCTGAGCTTGTGGTAGGGCTGTACCCATGACTTTAACTGTTTTTTCCTGCTCACCATTCTATCATAAATATATTTAGTGCATTCTTTTTAATTATAAAGGGAATTCACAGCATTATAAAACATTTAGAAATTGCAGACAGGGTGAAAGAGAAAAAAATTTGCCCTAGTCCTGCTATTGTTAGCATTTTCATGTCTTCTCTATAATTTATTTTATTTTATCCTTTAATCACAGATGTAAAAAATGGATGAATTCACCAGGTAAAAAATTTAAATAATATGGAAGCAGAGAATCAAAGTATGAAACTCTCCTTTTACCAACAAATTCTCCTCCCTCCCTAGAGAGAACCATAATTTACACACAATTTAGTTTGGGGTGTCTCTTCTCAGATCTATTCCTATGCTTTCACACACATTTACTATCTGTATATACGTATGTAGTTTGGATTTTAAACAGAGGGGTTCATACTGTCTGTGATTTGCTTTTTGACCTGATAGCACGTTTCTCTGTCACTGCACGACGCCTGTCTTATTTCCGTGGCTTCCCATCCCTCTGTATTGAAGACAGAACACATCTCTTTACAAAGCCCGTGCTGAGGACAAGCAGGTTGTGTCCAGTTTTGTTTGATCACAGTTTTGTATGGATGATCTTTGTGCTCATGTGCAACTATCTCTTTACGGGAGATTTCTACAATTAGACTTGCTTCATCAAAAGTTATATACATTTAAAATTTTAATGGCCGTTGCCAAACCTCTTTCATTAACGTTGAGAAACCTTCCACCAGCATGTATGACACACAAAAGATACTTGTGCCAACTCTGGATATTATCTTTTTAGTGCACAAAATTTTATGTTTTTTTTTTTAAAGCATAGTTTAACCACGTAATAGATACCATTTTCATCTTTTTGTCTATTCAACCTGATGTTGTAAATGTTTCAAGACCCCTCATTTTTAAAAGAATAACTTTTACTACAGAAGTTAAAAAAAAAGAAAAAAGTTCATTGTCAAAGAATCAGAAAATACAATTAAGCCCTTAAATTTTTTAAAAAATTACTCTTAATTCTATCACCCATATCACATTTTGGGGCATCTCCCTCTCCTACTTATTTTTCTGTGCCTTAACATTTTCTTTTTTTTATAAACATAATCTCCTTTTTAATGAGCAGTTGATGTTCAGTAGAGAAGATTGATGACAATTTATTGTACCCTTCCCTAACAGTGCATATTTCAATTGCCTCTAATTTCTGCTATTATAAATAACACAGTAGTGAACATCTTTGTGCCTCAGTTTTTTTGTTTGATATTTTTGTTTGAATGAGTTTTAAAGTGCTCCTGCCTTCTAACTAAGTTTAGGCCCTAGGTATCTAAGGCATCTCACACATCCACAAGCGCTCATTTAGTTACAACCCTGAATAGTAATTTACAGAGGGGAAAGGAGGCTCAGAAAGGCTGGTGAGGTGTCAAAGTCACACAGCGGGGTGGCGGGGGCTGAGCCGGCCTCTGCAGCTTCCCCTCACCCCAGCCCCTACCCCCATGTCTTCGCAGGTCTGGGGCTCTCCTCCCGGACCCCAGCTGTGAGCACGTCCGAGTCGAGCGCAGGCACGGGTACCAGCACCCCGTCCACACCCACCACCACCAGCCAGAGCCGCCTCATCGCCTCATCCCCCACCCTCATCTCAGGGATCACCAGCCCCCCCCTCCTGGACTCCATCAAGACAATCCAGGGCCACGGCCTGCTTGGCCCCCCCAAGTCCGAGCGCGGCCGAAAAAAAGATCAAGGCGGAGAACCCAGGGGGGCCACCTGTCCTCGTAGTCCCTTACCCCATCCTGGCCTCGGGCGAGACTGCCAAGGAGGGCAAGACATACAGGTGGGGTTCTCGGTGGGAGAGGGGTCCAGGTGGGCTTGGGGCAGAGGCCAGTGCCCAGGGCTGCTGCAGGAGCCCAGCAGTAGGGGACTGAGAAGAGGAGCCCCAGAGGCTGAGAGTGGGGGCTGAGGTCTGGAGGGGTGTGGTCTCCCGGCCAGCCTCACCCACATCCCCTTCAGAGGTGGTCTCTGGCTGCAGCAGCCCCCACCCCAGCCTGGGATTGTGAGAGCCCATTTCCTTTTCTCTTCAAGCAGTGTTCTTATCCCTCAAGGTTTGAATCATCTGGAAAACTTTCCAGAATGGAGGGTGTGTGGGTTGGGAGCCTGCCCTCTATTTTTCTCAGGGGGCCCATCCTCCCAGACACTCAGAGGAAGGCTCTGTCCCTGGTGTAGGGTCTCTCTGATGTAGAAGGTCTCCCCTGAGCTGCGCAGGCATGGGATGGGCGGGTCTTCCCAGGTGTGAACCTGCCTCTTGCCCACAGGTGTAAAGTGTGCCCGCTGACCTTTTTCACCAAGTCAGAGATGCAGATCCACTCCAAGTCACACACAGAGGCCAAGCCCCACAAGTGCCCGCACTGCTCCAAGTCCTTTGCCAACGCCTCCTACCTGGCCCAGCACCTGCGCATCCACTTGGGTGTCAAGCCCTACCACTGCTCCTACTGTGATAAGTCCTTCCGACAGCTCTCCCACCTCCAACAGCACACCAGGTGAGTGGCCTGCCTGCTGCCGCCCTACTGCAGCCAGTTGCAGCTCAGCATCTGCGCCTGGGGCCCGGACCAGGTGCACGGAGGGGCAAGGACTCCTCTAGGTGCCTGTTGCCCTCAGGGTCAAGACCAAATTCCTTTGCTTGGCATTGAGGCCTTTTATGATGTGGCCTCTGGGGACCTCACTGGCCTCGGCTCTCACGACTGCACTGCCCTTCCCACTGTTTTTTTATCTGTAGGTCTTTGCATGTGCTGTTGCCTTTACCTAAAAACCCTCCCCCTCCTTTAACCTGTTTCTCTGGCCCTCTCCTTTCCATCCCTCAGTCCAGCTTCCTCCAGGAAGTCCTCCGGGGTCCCCCTGAGCTGGTTGCACAGGCCCTGGCTTTCCCCATCCCAGCAGTAGTAGACTGTCTTTGGCTTCCCTGGTTATTTGCCCACCACCCCCAATATATCAGGAGCTCTTGAAGGCAAGGGCTGAGTCTCCTCCATTTCCACATCCCCAGTGGGTGGCATGTAATGAGCATTGAGGCATTTGTTTAATATTTGTGGAATAAATAGAACTAGCTTTTATAAGGCAGATGATTCATCCATTTAACAGATATTTACAGAGCCTCTCCTATGTGCCAGACATGCCCCTGGGTGTTGGGAATATGTCAGTGAACAAAACAGACACAAATTCCTGCCCTCTTAGGGTGTACAGTCTAGTCAAATGTGTGAAAGGGAGATTCAGAGAGCCATGCTTTAAGGAAAGAGAAGTTTTTGCAGGGGAGTGCAGACATCAGAAAGGCTGGCTTGCCAAATAAAAATATCATAGGTATTTAAAGAAATAAACTAAAGGTTACCAAAATTACAGTTCATCTCTTCAGAGGGGAAGAGACGCAGCGGTTTTCTCGCCTGGTGGTCATCGTATCCGTAAGCGTGGCTGTGTGCCTCGCAGTACTGGCCTTGTGAGAGTCAGGGAGGTTGCAACGCACAGGAAGCGCGCAAGGTGTTCTCTTTGAGGGGGTGAATGCTAGACAGAGGGTTTCTGTTCTGTGGTTGTGGCTATTTATTCGTTTCTCTCCATCAGCTTCATATGCTTCATCCCAGGGTGCGAGATGTTTTGTCTGTTTCTCTGACTTGGGGGTGTGATGAGTGGGTTTGATAGTAAGAAACAAACAGCAGGAGGGCAGCAGGACACAGCATGTCTGCTTTTCTTGTTCTCATGCCCCCTGAGACGTGGGCTTGACCACACTGGTGTGTTTTGGAAGCTTTCTAATTTTGCCATTAATTTATGTTTTTGAAATTTGGCTAGTTTCCATACACAGGTATATGTCACGGGGTGCAAATCAATACACAAAGTCCTCCTGGTTGTATGGTTATTAAAATTTGGGTATGTGACCCCAAGGTTTGAGAGTTAACTTCTGCCAGGAGACTTTGTAAAGCATCTAAGATCTAAGTTCCTTTCTAAAGTACCCTCTCCTCTTGGAGACTCCCCATGTTGGTCAGTGTTTCTGGGCTGGCAGGAATGGCTTTTTCCATAATCTTAAAGGCAGGGATCCCACAAGCCATGCAGTGGATTCAGTCCAGTTTCCTGGGAGCCAGGGGAGGCTGCATTCCCACGTACGACATCCAGGCCTTGTTTCTTACTATCAGGCTTGTCGTGCCTAATGAAATGAAATCTGTATTTAAATGTGACATTTCTGGCATGGTCATGGTTGCAAATTTGATTTACTAGATTATATCCTGTTAGAAGAGAGGACAGATTTCTTAGTGAACCTATTTACAGAAACTAATGGTCATGAAAAAGACAAGGTCTCAGTAAAGGCACTTGGGATAATTTTTTTTTAGCAATTGTTCTGAGTGGTTTTATAGACCAGACCAATTACATGTTTTTAACAATGAAACTATTATCTTTAAATTTCCTTGCTAATTCATTAGATATATCTAATTTTTATAGACCACCCCCTCCTCCAGCCCCACCTGTCCCCTGAATTCTGAAGGGTTAGGTGGAGCAAGGCACATTTAAGGAATATTCCACTCCAGTTTGTTCAAATATAGCCTCCTAAATTGAGGCTTAGAGGTAGATCAAAGGGAAAAAAAAGGTTTCCTCATATGCCCATTAGAAAATAGAACATTAACCACAATGAAATCACTTTCATCCAGTTCTAGGCCATAATTCCTGTTTCCTGGCTAGTTAGTCTGCTTTGCAAAACTGTCTGCTTCTGTACCCAAGACTCTTGGATCCTGCCTTGGTCTTGGGCAGTGTCGGGTCACGGGGATGGGTCCACGTGGGAGCCTGTGCCTCTCTGTCTCTTCCCCGAAGTGTAAAGAGCCGGTGCGGTGGTACAGTCCTCCACTGAGGCTCATCTCATGATGTTTCTTTCAGAAGATTCTGTCCCTGGCCTGAAGCACAGGTGTGAGCTGGGGAATAAGAACTGTTAATAAGACTAAACGACTCTGGTCCATTTATTATGTAATCAACAAATTCAGAATGGAGGAGAATGGAGTCCTCCATCCAGGTATAACGCATGATCAATTTTTCAGATTCAGAACATAGTCTATGCAGCAAAGGCATTGACCCATCGTCACAGCCTTTTAATTGATCTCATAAAGCATATTTTATGATTGGCGCTAGTAAGTGTAGTTAAATCTAGGGGAAAAAAATATTTTTAAAGACATTTGTTGTGGATACTTGTGGTGCCAGCCTCTACATGAAAAGAAGTTGTTGGGTTTTTTCCCTCTATCTTAAGAAGGACACACACACACATGTATCATACACAATTATGTATTATATATGATATTACTCTATATTCTATTTACATAAATTGTATATAATTACATACACACACACACACACACATCAAGTTAACTCAGGGAGATGGAGCGTTTCTTCTTTGGATTTGCCAGCTTTCTTATACTGGAAACTTCATAGGACAGCTCTCACTCTAGTGCTTGGCTAATTAAAAATGTGGAGAATACCAAATATGCCCTCATTGGGAGCTTTTATAAAGCAGGGGAGCAAATCTCTGGTTTTGCCCAGTGGCCAGGGAAACTCCAAGAGCATTTGGCTGTAAAGGATACCTTGACATCTTACTATTTTGAATGTGGGGCCTGGATTTGAGAAGGGCTGTAGCACACAGTTGGCGGTGGAGACCGTGTGAGCGTCAGTCTGCTAGGAAATAAACACAGTAGCAAGTAATAATTAGTGAGTCCGAGTGTTTTCAGACATCGACGTTTATTTAAAAATAGTATTTAAGACCACGACCAAACAGGCGAAAAGAAATTAATAGGCCCTGAGGGAGAGTATTTTGTCAGAATGTCCCTTGTCCAGGGATCCTATTCTGTTCCTAAGGGCACAATTTTTTCTCTCTCTGTCTTTTTTTCTTTTGAGTGATTTGAGTTCATGGTGGTTGGAAACCAAACCAGCAACATAAGAGGGTCTTATCAACACATAGAGACAAATTAGTCATCCCGTGGTGGCATATATAATTAAACCAGTGCAGCCTAACCCAGTGACAAAGAGATGAGTGTCCCAAATGCCCTCAAGTCCCAGAATCATTTAGACAAACAAGCAAAAGAAGCCAAACATGAAGAAGCCACCGGATTCCAGGTCGCTTGTGCCCTGCCATTCCACGGAGACTCTCCTCTGGTTTGTGCTCCTCAGTAGGGAACCAGACAGTCAGATATCTAATCAAATCCATCTTCCCAACATCATGCCAGTCATAAGGGGGTACAAGAAGGTCACGTCCAAAACGGAACCAGCCCCCATCATGTAATAAACGTCTGTCTAGAAGCAGGATGAGCAGAAACCCCCAGGAGGTGACAATGAGCATTTTCAGGGCAGGTAACGTCATTGCATGGCCCTGGCGACCCTGGAGCATCTTGATGGGACCTCCATCTGTCAAAAGAAGTCACCACAAGTGAAGAAAAGCAGGTGTTTGCACAGCGTTTGCAGAAATCCAGACTCCAGAAGGGTCAGCCTGGTAAATAATAAAGACCACATGTATTTAAGGAGAAAATAACAGGAATTTGTCCTGAGGTCTGTTCATGATATACAGCAGTTGTCTCGTGCAGTTAGCATCTGGATAAGATCACGTATCCGTAGATGCCGTGATGCTGGGTCAGGGGTAGCGTGGCTCTACAAGGCAGTCAGGGAGGTATAGGGAGGGGCTCAGCGTTTTTCCTGTTTGGGGAGCATATGCTGGACACAGTGACTCTGGATTTGTTTCTTTACTTCCTCAGGCTGCAGAATGGTTTGTGCCTTTGTTTTTCTTCTCCTGGCTGTGATGTTGTGTCCCTGTGTGATGATAATTGTGGTAGGGGCAGGTGTTATTCTGCTTTCTCGAGTGTGATGATGGAAGTGGTAATAACATCTTAGCAACAACTATTCCCCGTCAGAGAGCTCCCAAGTGCGTGGCCCTGCGTAAGGTGATTACATACAAGGTGTCCATAAAGTCCTTGCACAGTGTGAATTTGTTTCTTAAATAAGAGAAAACGAATCTGAAAAATGCAATGGAAAGGGAACTAACTCAAGGAAGGTTAACTTTCACTGTATCTACCATCGTTTCAGTTAGGAAGCACAGCATGACTGAAGCCATTCAATAGAATGTGCCATTTATTACCTGGAAAATAAAAGATAAATGATAACTAACGAACCCTTGATAATTTTATTTAAACATCAAATAAATTCCCTGTTTGTTGTTTTTCATAAATTGTTTATGTTAAATAGACAAGAGTGTATTAAAAACTAACACTGTGGAGGGGAGGGTATAGCTCAGTGGTAGAGTTCTTGCCTAGCATGCACAAGGTCCTGGGATCAATCCCTGGTACCTCCACTGAAAAAATAAATTTTAAAAACTTGATTACTTCAATCCCCCCCAAAACAAACAAACAAAAACAAACAAACAGACCCTAACACTGAAAATATCTTCGGCATGCCCTTTATGTCAGTTACAGCCCTCATAATCCTTATTACAGTCCCCATTTTAGAGGCAGGGAAACTGGGGTTCAGGGTGGCAAAGTCACTTGCCCAAGGCCACCCTGCTGAAAGGAGGCAGAAGTGAGGTGCGAGCCAGAGCACCAGGGAGCAGCCCATGCCTCTGAGGAAGGTTGGAGCTGGGGATGTCAGGCTGCCGAGGAAGCTCAGGTGGGGGCGGGGTGCCAGGCAGGAGAGCAAGGCAAGTCTTTGGGCCCCAGGGTGGGGCTGGGGCCGTGCGGGTAAAGGAGCAGCCCAGGGGCACCAAGTTCAGCTCCAGTTCCCTGTGTTGCCCACGCCTGGAGGCGGTGGTGAGGCCCCGTCACTGCAGATGTGGGAGTCAGGGCTGGATGCTCCCCTGGTGGGAAGATGCCCTACAGAGAGAGGATTCTGATGCTGGAATTTAGGGCTTGGCCCTGACTTGAAGTTCAGGAGCTGAAGAGCCCACAGGCCATTTACCAGTGGGAACTTTGTCTCCCTGAATCCCCCCTGAGCCAGCCCAGTGCTGGGTCCCACGCATAATGACAGACCAGTGGTCAGAGGTAGGCTCTGGGCCAAAGGAACTCCCACCATGACCTCGGAGGCTGGTGAATGTGAACATTTCCATGAAAGAGGGAAGTATGTGATGAAGGTAGGGGAGGATCATTTGAATTGGGTGTTGAAGGGTCCATAGACCTCCCTGGTGAGAGACGGGAACGATGTTCCTAGCAGGGGGAGTGGCACAAGCAAAGGCTCAGAGGCTTGCTGAGGGATATGTGTGCACGTGTGGGGGGAGGTTGGTAAGATGTCCAGAGGCTCCACTGGGGAGACCAGTGGCTGGGGGGAGGGTGTTTTAGGCCTCGAATGATGGAGTAGGGAATTTGGATTCCACCCTGGAAAAGTGGGATGCAAAAGTGGGGGATGCCAAGCCAGGCTGTGACAAGGTCAGCTCCCTACACTGCTGTAGTGGTGGAGGTCAGGAGGGGAGAGGCTGAGGCTGGGAGTCCAGGGAGGAGACCAGAGGGGATGTCCCCTGGTCAAGAGGGCTTGGCCGGGTCCCCAGGGAAGGACCTGAAGTCCCTGGAGGACCATCAGTCAGTCAGTCAACAAACACTTGTGAAATGCCCCTGAGGAATGGGTGGTGGTTATGTGGAGCATATTACTGTTGTCAGTGATGGACTTCAGGGGGAAAGAACTCCCCTGCCCTCGTTCAGTGAGTCCTTTCTGCTGAGTCTGTGCCAGGACCTGGGATGATGGTGCTGGATGAGACCAAGGAGGGAAGCAGCCAAGGAAACAGTGACCAGATGTGGATACAGTATGTGCCCACACACAGAATTCTGCTCAGGGGTGAGCTGCAGGGGCCAGGCCTAGTGTGGGGGTCAGGAAAAGCTACCCTGATCAAGGGGCTTTCATACTGAGGATGGTTGTCTGGGTTGTAGCCAGGTGCTGGCTTAGGGAAAAGTGCCTGGAAGAGGAGCAGCCGTGGATGACAGACAGGGTCAGAAGGGACGTGCATGCTCGCGGGGCCAGAGGAAGGCCGGCGGGGCTGGAGCCTTGGGGTCGGGGAGAGGTGTGGCTTGGGCAGCACTGGGAGGTGAGTACTCAGGTGGGCATCGTGTGGTTTAAAACAAATCAGTGCATGTCCCGTGGTCCCTTGGTCCCCTCTGCCACCTGACCCCTAGCTGACCAAGTTCTGCAGCCTTGGAGGGGAACGAGGATGGGGTAAAATGGAGGGGATTCTGCAATAGGTGGAGCTGGTCCAGGTGACCCTTAAGGTCCTTCCATTGTAGAGACGGGATGCAGTAGCCTGAGATGATGTCCCCAAACATGTAATGCCCCCAAATGTACAGATAGAACAGGGATCCTCAGAACTGGGCCAGCCCAGCTCCACCTGGCCAGTCTCCTTGCAGCCTCTGGACTGGGCCCTGGGCCTTGCACCTGAGATGAGCTGTCCCTGCCCTTGGGATTCCCTGTCTAGTAGGGGAGACATAGGAGGGGCGGCCCCGTTGCTGAGGACATACTCCGGGCACAGGGGTGGCGGGCAGAAGCATCAATCAGACACGGTTGCCAGACGAGAAATGGTTCTCTGACCAGGATGCAGGGTGCAGGAGCAGGGAGGTGAGGCCAAACCACACATGAAGGGCCTCGAATGACACACTAAGGAATCTGGACCATCAGTCACGGTCCTGGGCTTACTGATGGCAGGGACTTTACTCCAGCCTGACCAGCATGGGACCTGGCTGGACGGGCCTTCATTTGTTTGATGAGTCTGTTCCTGGGCAGAGCAAACCCAGGCAGTGAGGCGGCTGGTGCTTTAGGGGAGTCAGACCGCATGGCCAAGAGCTGAATTTTCCCTCCACCTTATGCTCATCGGCAACTTAGGCAAAAGAGGTTCATGTCCAGCCCGCATTTCATCACCCACCTGCTTGGCACAAGATTCACTGGAACAGATGATTGAAGACAAGCCTAGGAGAACGGGGAAGGCCTGACATCTTGGCCTCCATGTATGCCCCACTCCCGAGCCCACGTAGGCACCTCTCTGCGTCCCCTCTGTCCTCACCTGGCTGGTAGACAACACAGTCTGCAGCAGCTGACAGAAGACAGCTGTCAGCCTTCAAGTCACTGCTCCCAAGTCATCTTCTCAGTCGGGACTCTGACCACCCCATTTAAGATCGCACCCCCTGTCCCGGTTCTCATGACCCCCTCACCTTACTCTGTTTCCTCTCTTAGCACTTACCACCTCCTACACGTGCTTTACTGACTGACTTCACGCTCGTTGTTTGTCTCCACGAGGCGATGGGGTTTGTCTGTTTTGTTCACTAATAGGTTCCAAGCGCCCAGGTTGGTGCCTGGTGCATGGGTTCTTGATGTAACAATTGTTAAATGAATTAATAATAATTAATAATAATAATAATAATAATAATACTGGCAAGTGTTTTTGGAGGGCTGACTTGGTTAAGCCCCTTCCACATATTATCTAATGTAATATTCACAAAGCCCAGCAGGGTTGGGACTCTATTTCTTTTTTGGCCCATTTTGCAGATGTGGAAACCGAGGCTTGGTAATTTGACCAAGGTCACCCAGATAGTAAGTGGTAGAGTTAGGGTGGTCACAGGGGCTCATAGGGAGGACATGAGGGCCTGACCTTCAGGGCCATCCTGTCCTGCATTCTCTGAGTAGCTGGGGTGACCAGGTAGCCATCATGGACATATGCCTGACATGGGGAGGAGGCAGGAAACAGAAATTCGAGGCCAACTGGAGGGAGATGTCTCCTTCTGAGAAAGACGCAGGATGGGCAGGGAAGGTCCTGGCCAAGCTATGAATCTTTTCAGTGAGTGGTCTGCTGCTGGCTTTTTTAGAAAAGGGGCAGAATGTCTCTGTGATGATCGGGAGTCCTGGGCTGGGTTTCTGAGTCTGTGCTGGTTCAGCGGGGACCTGCAGGGTCTGTGGAGGATCTGGTCAGACTGGAGGTGGGAGGCCAGAGAAGAAAGTAGGGAAGGCCTTTGAAGTCCCAGCTCTTGCTGGGGCTCCCTTGGCAGGCTTGGGGGCCAGAGGTGTGTGCAGGCCAGCCAGGGGCCATGGGGCTGGAGCTGGCCTGGGGGATCTGCCAGGGGCTCACCCTGACAGCTGGCTGCCCGTTGCAGAATCCACACAGGCGACAGACCCTACAAGTGCCCACATCCTGGCTGCGAAAAGGCTTTCACTCAGCTCTCCAACCTCCAGGTGAGTGCCTGCCCACCTCCACCTGCCAGGCGCACAAAGCCCTTCTCCTGCCCAAAGGGGAGCGTGGGGATGGGGTGGGTCTGGGGGAGCCCAGCCTCTCCCAACCCCCTGCTGTGCTCCCCGCAGTCTCACCAGCGCCAGCACAACAAGGACAAGCCCTACAAGTGTCCCAACTGCTACCGGGCCTACTCGGACTCCGCCTCCCTGCAGATCCACCTCTCCGCGCACGCCATCAAGCACGCCAAGGCCTACTGCTGCAGCATGTGCGGGCGGGCCTACACCTCGGTGAGTGCCCGCCTCCTGTCCCCGGCAGCCTCCGGTCTGCACTGACTCTCCCCATTCCCCAGACAAGGAACTGAGGCTCAGAGAGGGGCTGTGCCTCCCCACCCCAGATCACAGTAAGTGGGAGAGCCACGGCTTCTGCCCCCCAGTTCTGTTTTAGGGCACCTCAGGCAGAGCTCCCTCCAGGCAGCCTTTAGCCTGGGTTCCCAAGGTGTGGTTTCTCCCCTGCAGTGGTGAGGGGCCTGGCACCCTGGTGAGAGCCAAGGAGGGAGAAGCACCTTTCCTCACGGGGGAGGCTGCAACCCCCATCATGGCCACAAGGTGGCACAGTGACCTGGCCCAGAGCCACCCTCATCTCCCAGGAAAGGCCCAGACGGCATCAGAAAGGTGCCTGCCTGCTGTCCCTGGGTGGGAATCTCCCTAAACAAGGGCTTTTCAGACCGAGATGAGGGAGTCCAGGTGAGTTACTTGAGTGTGTGTTTCTGACTAATCAAATATTCTGGGTAACTGACTCCCACGTATACCTAGACAGAGATCACGGAGTCTCCACCTGCAAAATGGAGGAGGTAATAGTTCCTCAGTTGCAGGGCTGTTGGCTGGCAGAGTCTATGCCTGATAAACCTTAGGTAACATGAGTCTACTCACTCGGTGTTTACTGAACACTTGTGCCAGGCACTTGAGACTCAGGATGAATCAAACAGACATATTCTTTGCCCCAGGGAGATTGGAGTCTACTGCTGGAGACAGATAATAAACAAGTACCCACACAAATAAATATGTAATGACAAACTGTGGTAACTGACCTAAGGAGGGTTTCTCAACCTTGCCCTGTGTTGACACTTTTGCTGGGGGGGCTGTCCCGCGCTTTGTAGGATGTTTAGCAACATCTTTGGCCTCTGCCTACTAGCAGTCCCTCCCCAAGTTGTGACAACCAAAAATGCCTCTGGACTTTCCCAAGTGTCCCCTGGGGGGCAAAACCGCCTCTGAGCCACTGCTATAAAGGAAAAAGGAAACACATGTTTTGGGCTACAGCCTCAGGGATGGACGTTTAGTTGGGGAAGGGAGGGAGGGCGGGGTAGGTGTCTGAGGAAGTACCATTTAGAAGAGGCCTGAAAGGGTGATTGGCCAAGTGAGGAGGAGAGGAGGGGGAAGAACTTTCCATGCAGGGGCAGGGTGAATGCAAACACCCAAGTGGAACAAACATGGTGTGTTCCAGGAACTGAAAGAAAATTGGTGTCACGAGGCTGCAGGGCCCTGTTAGGGAGTTTGGATGCTTTTCCAGGTGAAGTGGGAAGCCATGGGGAGGGTAGTTTTGAAAGTTCAGTTTGTCTGGAGGTGGGCACGTGGATTGCACCCTCCTACACATGTCCACTCCCTGAGGAGGGGCTGCCAGCGTTCCCGGCTGTGGTTCTAGAAGGAATCTGAACTCCTGTGGGGAAGGGGCTGTCAGATCTCATGTGGCCTGAGGCCCCTCCCTGAACCGGGCCTGACTGGACTCCATAGAACAAGAATAATCACCTTTGGTTTTTAAACAGACATTTTAGTGGATTGACTTTTAAACTCCTTTAATACATAAAAGAAACATTTTAGAATAGTGACTCCTCATGTTCCAATCAGCCCCCAGAACCTGGCATCAACCAATCCTGCTTCATCCATATCCCTATGTTTTGAAATAAAACTGATAACATACTGTTTCAGCTGAAAATTTTCACTTTGTTTTTAAACATAAGGACTTCTTTTTTTGGACTTATCCACACACCTTTATAATACCTTAAAATAATTCACTGTAAAGCCTTAGCATCATCAAATACCCAGTTGGCATTCCCGTTTTTATCTGTCTCACGGATGCCATCATTTTATTTACTTACACATTTTATTTTTTAATCAAGATCCAAATAAGATTCTTACATTGCACTGGATCACTTTATCTTTTAAACTCTTGGTCCCCCACCCCCGCTGCCTTTTTTTTCTTTGCAATTTACTCATTGAAGAACAGTTTTCTGGTTTGGATTTTGCTGATTGCTTCCCTCTAGTGTGGTCTGATACACTTGAGGGCTTCCTCTCCCGGATTCCGAGCAGACTGAGGTATGAGGCCAAGGAGGGGCAGGTGGGAACCAGAGCACCACCTGGCAGCTTACTGTGAGGGCCTGTGGGCCTGCAGGTGAGCCTGGGGCCACCTCACCCACCCAGTCTTGGGTGCCCCAGGTCAGACTTAACAGAGCCTGTGCTCAAGGAATGAGCTGAGCACGCCCAGTTTATGCTTCCCAGAGTCACCAATCATATCAGGCCTAGTTTATTCCCAAGGGAGGATGAGGTCTCGGGTACAGAGGCCTGGGCTCCCACCACCACCTGGAATGAAGTGTAGAGACTAGGGAACCAGTGGTCCCCTCAACCCTACTGCGTGCTGAGAGCTTTACCCACATCACCATAGCAACCCTTTGAGGTTGTCCCTTCCACATCCCTGCCTGCAGAGGAGGAAGTTGAGGCTTGGAGGGGTGAGGTGACTTGCCCAGGAAGTACCAGAGCTGGGCTGGACCAGGACCTATGCTTTGCCCTCATTGGGAGCATTAGCCAGATGGGGGCAGCTGTGCTGCGTTAGGCAGGCGGGCTGAGGTCGGGTCTGCAAACTCACTGCAGCCAGCGGAAAATGGCAGCTGCCCTGGCCCTAGGAGTTCCACTGCTGATGCGCGAGCCTGGTGCCTGCCGGCTCTCCAGTCAGCACACTGTAGGCTCGGACCCTGGTCAGTGAGCCACCCTCCCCCCCCCCCACGGCCGGCAGCAGTGCAGCGTCCTTAGAACGGATGTGGATGCCCGCCACTAGCCCGCCCATCTACCAAGGAGCCCTCTAGTGGCCGCTTGTGGGGACTGCAGCTCCCCCTGCATCCCTTGCCAGCAGTTGGTTATATGTTCTGAATCTCATCCCTGCCCACAGGAGACCTACCTGATGAAGCACATGTCAAAACACACGGTGGTGGAGCACTTGGTGAGCCATCACTCGCCCCAGAGGACGGAGTCCCCCGGCATCCCGGTGCGAATTTCCCTCATCTGAGCCGACCCAAGGCACCGCCCCTCCCTGCCCACTGGCAGACAGACCCAGGCAGCACCAGGCCCTGACTCCCTCCAGGAGCCCTCCAGGAACAGCTGAGCTCTCTCATGACCTTCCTGACCTTCCAGAAAGCCTGGGCCATAGAAGCCCTGCCCGGTCCAGCTCTGCGGGCGGCCAGGCCAACTGCAAGAGTCTAGACTGTTTTGGTGGCATCCAAAGACGATCTCAGAGCACTTTGAACCTCTCTGCTGGGTTTTCCTTTTGTTCCCCACCCTTCACTTGCTTCACTGTTTTTTTTTTTAAGTTTGTTTTGGAAATAACAAAAAAGATATTTATTGGCCAAGAAGTTGGTGCTGCTAAGACCGAGAAATTAAAAGAACCGGACAGATGGACACAGAGAACCGAGGGCAGCGTGGGACCTTCTCTTGCCATGGCCTCAGGTCTTGAGGGGGAGGCTCAGGCCGGGGTTTCTGGACTGCAAAGGGGACCCCCAGGTGGGAGGGGCAGGAGGCAGCTGGAGTGACCCACTCGCCCCTGGGTGCCCAGCTCAAGCCTCTGGAGCTGCGTCCCGGGCATCACTGAGCAGAGGAATGTGGCAGCTACCAGGGCTGCCCAGGCTTCAGGAGACAAACGAGAGGCCGGGAGGTCCGCAGGACCAAAGGGTGCAGCGCGTTGGGCTGGGCTGGGTGCAGGCCCAGGGAAATGGGGTCGGGGTGGGCTGGGTAAGACCTGGTGCCCCCACTGCCCTGAAGACCACCCCAGTCTACCTCGGTGCTGGCCAGAAAACCTATTGGCTACCTCTCCCACCATCCCAGACTGTGGGCAGGGGGATGGGGAGGGAGGGGGCCTGGGGCTAGGACCCCCCTCTCCAGAATTTCCTCCAGATGGGGCAGTGCCCAAGGAGGGGTTTTGTCTTCCCTGCCGTGGAGGGGACTCCCCAGCCCAGGCCCCAGGTCCCTCGGCAGGGAAGGGACCCTCGGGGAGGAGGGTCCCCAGGAGCAGACCCTGCCCTCAGCTCCCCCACACACACCCCAATCTGAAAGCCATGCGTGTCCGTGTATATAGGAACAATGTACAGAGCCTGGGGAGGCCCCCCCACATCCCCCTGGGGGGAAAAAAGAAAACTAGACAGAATCTCATCTATATATTCTGTATCTGGAGTTCCGTTTTGAATATTAACTGTGTTATTTTTATACACTTTTTAAGCCTTAACTCGCCATTGATTTACCAGTTTAACGTCTCCTGGGCTTTCTTTTCCCACGGGGTTCTCTGCCCCGCCCCCACCCCTTTGTTTGACTTGCGTCGTCTGATACTCAGTATTGTAGCTTTTCGTCCGCATGTTACTACCCTGTAAATACGCTGTTATACATACTGTTGACACCCCTTTGCTTTTTTCTATGGGACCTCCAGGCCACCATATTTAGAACTAGTTACCTTATTAAAAAAGAGAAAAGAGTGTTGGCTTCTCAGTCTGCATCGTGGTGGCAGGGAGGTGAGGGCAGGTGCCCCTCAACGCTTCAGGAAGGAAATTTGCATTCTATTTAAGAAAAGGGGTGGGGAGCAAAATAAAAGTCGAATGTGGGGCAGGACACTAAAGGGGGCAAGAAACAAAGGAATTCCAAACCCTCTGCTCTTTGTATTTCTCTGTTGTGAAGAATAAACTGTACCTGCAGCCGGGTGGCGGTGGTGTGTGGTGTGCTCTGTGCGGGGGGGGGCTGGGGGGCACCTTTCCACTGCTCCTCTCCCCTCCCCCGCCCCCCAGATTTGGGGAAGAAGGGAGATGGCCCATCCTGTGTCCATCACTTGTGGCCAAGGACCATGAGGGCTCAGAGGAGTGAGCTCCCGAAGGTGAGCTTTCTGTCTTTCCCACAATGAGGCTAGTACAGGGCCAGCCTTGATAAACTCTGGGGGATTTCCTGCATTTCCCCCCAAGGCAATCAAAGCACTGACCCCCTCTCCCCATGGGGAAGATGTCTGTGAAGGGGACTTATTGGTCCCCAGTCCAGAGTAGCTGGGGGCTGTGAGGCTGGAGCTACTGCTGCTGCGGAAGGAGCGGGGATGAAGCCGACTCAGAACAAAGCCAAGTGGATAGTTGGAGACACATTATCCAGCCCTGCAGCTGGCCTGACCCCAGCACTGTCCTGTTCACAAGCCAATAAAACCTCATTTGGATCAGCCTCGTATTCCTCAAAGAGTCAGTTGCTCAACATTTACCAGCACACCACTGGCTGCCTCTCCAATCAGATTCTCTATCCAAATTAGGAACGAGTAAGGAGATGGTGGGCACCTGGACTGTGGACAGGGGGTGGGGGTGGCCATGTTGGCCAGACACAGACAGAAGGAAAAAGGAGGCAGAGAGAAGCCGAGGTGGACAGATGAGACTGAGAGCCAGTGGCAACCTCAGCTCCTGACCTTCAGTCTTCATCTTCTGGCCAGGTTTAATTTCCTGCTTATTCTCACACTAATGAATTTATAAGTTGCTATCGTGTGCCACTGGGTAAATTACTTACTCTATGCCTGACTTTCTTATGTAAAACAAGGGAAATAATAGTAACCAATTTATAGGGTGGATGTGAGCATTAAATGAATGGATAGATACCTGAGGCTTAGATCTGTGCTAGCACATAGTAAGTACCCAATAAATGTAATTGTTCTTATCATTTGATGTAGCCCTGATGGATCCATGTCCCTTATGATCAGTGAACCCTGACTACCTGACCAGAGAGCTGACGATGTTTGGGAATCTCAGCGAATGGGATCTGAGCTGGCAAGGCAGGGTGGGACAGCTGGACAGGTGGAGATTTTGCATGGGGCAGTGACACTCGGGGGACTGGGTGCCTGATTTTCACCAGCTCATCTGGAAGCTCTCAGGAGCTTCAGCGGTCCCTGAGGGTCCCAGCATGGATGCGGAGGACAGTGTTGATTGACAGGGACACTGATGGAAGTAGCTGCAGAAGGAGCTTATTCCTTGTTATCCCTGAGCTGCCCTGAGCCACTCTCTAGCCCCTACCCTGACCGCTGGCCTCTGGGTAAGACAAAGAGGGAGTTGTTCCCAAGTGATCGTCCACTCTGTTACACTGCAGCTTCCTTGACTCCAACCCCTTCTCAGGAAGGTCTTGACCCGCAGCATGAGGCTGCCCCAGCCCAGCACATGGAAACCCCTAACTTGTGCCATCACTTCCTCTTTTTTTTTTAATCACTTCCTCTTGAAAACAGGAAATGGCTGTCCTTTGGCGAACCCTTTGCACTCCATGAACTTGCAGGAGAGGGGGCAGGCAAAGAGAGGGAGAAGACAAGTTATTTCCTGGAGCACCACAACCCCCAGCAAGGAGGGTGACTGCCACCCCCATTTTATATATAAGAAAGCTGAGACTCAGCAAAGGTAAGGAACTTGTCCACAGCCACCCAGAGAGTCAGAAGAGGAGCAGGCTCTATCCAGATCTCACTGGCTCAAGCTCAGGTCTCTGGCAGCCCAGGGATTGGGGTGTGTGGCCCTTGGTGAATGATGCAGGGTTAAGGTGGAGGATACTCTCCCACCAGAGGAAAGGATGTTCCAGCTCAGTCATCAAGCGATAACCCATTCTGAGGAACACCTGGCCTGTTCTTATCTGTAACCCAGAGTCCAAAAGGCCTTTTCAATTTTGCTAATCTAGTTTTGAACTGCTTTTGAGAGGGGAGATATTTATCTCACGTCAACTGGAATGGGTTTGTAAAAACTGTCAGCTTGTAGAAACCATCAGAGATGGCTTATAGTCAGAATTGCTCTCCTACCTGGGAACAGTGTTAAAAATGCAAGGCCTATGAGAACCCCTCATGCACGATTCAGGAGACCTGGAGGGAAATCCCACCCTCTCTGGGCCTCCGTTTTCCTAACTGTCAAACAGTATCTCTGAGGCTTCCAGCAGGTAACTTCCCTGTTCCCTCTGCTATTTCCTGGAAGGCCTGATGACTTCGCGGTCCTATTCCGGGAGTGTGTTTTTCCTTATTGAGGATGAAGTCTGGATGGCAGCCATGGATGAGGAAGTTCATCTCCCAGATACTGTGGCCAAACAGCCATATGGGTCCCATGGCAAGGAAATGTCACTTTAGTGGACTTTGTTTCTCTAGGAGAAAGGGCCATAAGGGCACTTTGGAATAATGTATTTTATTATAATATTACTTAATATGGACAAACTGTGCCGAGGCTGGGGAGGTGAACCGGAAAAGTCAAGGAACGGGATGCCACTGTTTCTCCAGCTGGGGTTCCTGCCCAGAGGCAGCTCTGTTTGGCCTGAGAGCCAGTCCTGGCTCTCCAGCTGCTGACATCACAGACTGACTCACAGATCCTCTGGTCCCTAGGCAGTTACGATCCGTTTCTGTACCTCAGTCCCATTAAAAAAAAAAAAGTGGGAGGATATGGGGTGGGGGGGCTAAAACATCTCTTCAGGGGGCCCCAGCTGAACTCAGTAAGGTCAGAGGTGAAAGGTCTCCAGGCAGCTGGAGTTGCCTGGGTCGTGGAAAGTCAGGGAAGGGATGGATCTCCCTCCTCGGGGAGCCGCTCCCCAAAGGCCGGGCCTCCTCCCGCCACCCCGCGGCGCGGGCGGGTTTCACGCGGTCTCCCCACCGTCCCCAACTACCACCGCAGCTACCCAGAAGGGGCCTGGCCGGGCCGGCGT